GTTGATGTCTGAGTTGTAACGACGTTGCAGCTAATTTGCATATATGTCATGCTTTTTCGTATTATTCATAGTTGAATTATAATTTATAATAATTTTAAATAGATTATTTGTTGTAATTTTGTGATTTTAATGTAATTGTTATAATTATTTTTTATTTTATACTATCCTACAATTCTTGAAATTAGTAAAATTTAAAGATCCGTCGGACTTACGCCCCATGTCTCAGGGCTTACACCTCGCCTCGTCAGAGGTAAAACATCTCGCCGCCCACGCTTTTTAAAACACTGTTACTCACTACGTTAAAATTTTGAATTTACTTCAGTCTTGCCTACCACTAGCCTTTAGTCAATTTCTTAGGCCAAGCCAAGATACCAGGAGGGAAAAAAAAGTAATGGATTTCCTTGTTCTTACGATTGAAGAATTAATATTTAATTACTACTACTTAATTTGACTCTTTAAGCTCTCTTTCCGAAGGATAAAAAAAACTCTAGGGAAATTGGTGCTTCATAAGACTTTTCTAAGTCAAACAGACAGAAGACTATAACGACTACCAGATTTTATAAGACAGAAGACTATAACGACTACCAGACATAACATAACTTATACAATATGCTTCTATTACATCCATCACCTAGGAATAACGAACAGTTGTGTTGTGCCGAATGAGACTGACTGTATAACAAAAATTATAGATGAGTCCTACCCGCACAAGAAAGCTTTTTTTGCGGTCCATGAAGATATCTTTGTCACTATATATATATCTTTTCAATGAGAGGCTGCCACTGCGCCAAGTTCAGTTTCTTGGAATCCCCAGGTATTTAAATGAAATCTCTCCTTGTACATATCACACAGTCTGCAATATTTTCCTTCTCTCATCATTATGCATACCTCCAAAATACACACAACTTTGAGCCAATTTTGCTTCTAAACAACAAGCAGCCGAGAATCTACCAAATCTGTCATGTAGCAAGTCCATATATTTAATGTCTCCTTTGGCAAAGAGTAGAAGATCATCTGCAAAACTTAGGATGAAATTTAAACTTTTATTCATCTTTCAGTCCATTTAAGCCCCGACTCAAATACTCCATAACAATTGCAAAAAGAAATCTCCCTGCCTTAGGAAATTCCAACCATTATCCCATTATTTGCTCTACGTATCTCCACTCCCCTGCCCGTACATTTTCTTGTAATAACTAAACAATACTAATATAGTTTGGTCTAGTTTCTTTATACTACAAAATAAGAATTTGGCTATTAAGTGTCCAACTCCAAAAATCTGATATAAATTTCCAGGAAACATACCAAGTGAAATTCAAAATCTGCCAGCAATTCAAAGAATAGAAAACGATTTGGTGGATAATTCCACCTTCTATATATGGGGAGTTTATCCTCCAATTTAGAGGAGTCTTAGTGATTTATCAAGAAATCAATTCATAGGACAAATTCCAAGCACAATTGGACAAGTACAGAATTTGGTGAATCTTTCATTGTCGATGAATAATTTTGAAGGTTCTATACCTGAATCATTCGGAGACATGGTTGCTCTAGCATGCTTAGCTAGGATCTATCCAGAAATAGCCTTTTCTGGTATGATTCCTGAGTCTTTGGTGAATCTTAAACAAAATTCTAATGCCTCACGGGTAAAATTCCAAGTTGAGGACGTTTTGCAAATTTGACAGCTGACTCTTTCATGGGTAACGCCAAATTGTGTGGAACATCTTAAATCAATGTGGTGAAATGTATAATCAATAGCCCGAAAAGTAGAAAGAAGGGAAGGGCTTTAATTTAACTTTTGTTCTTGCATTAATTGCAGTAGCATTAGTAGTCACAACCATTTTCATGGTTTGGCTGCTGAAATACCGAAAAAGAAATAGACAACTTGCTATACCAGATTTGATTGGCCAATCCCATAAGAGGATCTCTTACTATGAAGTTTGTAAAGATGTAAAAGCATTAGAGGAGTGGCTCAAGCTTGAGCTACAATGGTGGAACCATGGAGGGTTCTCGAAGGAGAACAGGAAAACAGAGGAGAGAGAAGAGTCAGTTATGTGTGAAAATGAACTGATTGAATTGTATTAGAAACTCAACTGAGTATATATACATATTACATGTGGGACCCAATACTAACCATCTAAAGCTATGCTAATACACACCTAACTGACTATTAACATAATGATAAATACAATACACTATTTCAATACCCCCCCTCAAGTTGGAGGTGAAGATGTCACAGCCAAGTTGCTCATCACTGCTGCATGCTTGACTCCAGTAAGTGCTTTGGTTAAAACATCAGCCAGTTGATTATCAGTCCCAGCATAATGAAGGGAAACCAGCCCTTCTTTCAATTTTTCTCTCACAAAGTGACAGTCTACTTCAATATGTTTGGTCCGCTCGTGGAAAACATGATTACGAGCTATATGTAGAGCAGATTGACTGTCACAGAACACTATGACAGGTGAAGGAAAAGGAACAGTAAGCTCAGTAAACAGTCTGCACAGCCACACCAGTTCTCCAACTACATTTCTCAAGGCTCTATTCTCTGCTTCAGCAGAAGAAAGAGAGATGGTAGCTTGCTTCTTGGACTTCCAACTAATGGGACTGTCACAAAGTAATACTAGATATCCACTGACAGATTTCCTAGAATCTGGGCAGGCAGGCCAATCAGAGTCACAATATCCTCTAACTGTGCAATCTGGATTTGCAGACAAAGAGATTCCAAGAGTAGGATCAGCTTTCAGATATCTAAGTAAGTGATAGGCAGCCTTGAGGTGAGGTTCCCTGGGATCTTGCATGAATTGACTGAGGTGCTGGACACTATAGGCAATGTCCTGCCTTGTATTTGTTAGGAAGTTCAGCTTTCCAATCAAGGTTCTGTAGACAGAAGGGTCTGCTAAGGGTATACCTTCCTTGGCTTGAAGTTTGACTGTAGGATCCAATGGTGAGCTGAAGGCACTAACATGAAAGCATTCATACTACCTTCAGTAGGTCAAGAGCAAATTTTCTCTAAGAGATTATCACACCATCTTCCTTGTAGAGAACCTCTAAACCCAGGAAATAATGCAGTCGACCCAAGTCCTTGATCTTGAACTGAGCATGTAGAAAAGCCTTCAAACAGTTGATTTTTTCTGGATTATTCTCTGTGACAATTACATCATCTACATAGACAGCAACATATATAGCAGAGGAGTCAGATTTCGTGTAAAACAAAGAGTAATCATTGAGGGAATGTACATAGCCCTTGGAACACAATGCCTCAGCCAACTTGTTATACCACTGTCGACTTGCTTGTTTCAAGCTATACAATGATTTGTGCAGCTTACATACTAGGCCAGGTGTGTCAACCAACAGACCAGGAGGCAGGTCCATATACACTTCCTCATGTAAATCCCCATGAAGGAAGGCATTATTGACGTCAAGTTGGAAGATACCCCAATGCTTTTTCACTGCAGTTGCTATAAGTTCTCTAATAGTTGTCATTTTTACAACAGGTGAGAAAGTCTCAGTGTAATCAATACTAGCCTGTTGTGTATACCCCTTTACTACTAACCTGGCCTTGAATCTTTCAATACTACCATCAACTTTGTGTTTGACCTTATATACCCATCGACAGCCTATAGGTTTCTTCCCTGGAGGTAAGGGAACTAGGTCCCAAGTGTGGTTGGCATGAAGAGCTTCAAACTCTAGTGACATAGCTGCTTGCCAAGCAGGATTCAAGGCTACTTCTGCATAAGATCTTGGTTCACTATCATGGCAAACACTTTGAACAAGTTGCTGACTATCAGGGACCAATGAGGTGAAGGAGACATGATGATGTTTGGAGAAAAGAGCATTGAGAGAAAAAGAAGAATCTGGATTGGATGTAGTAGCAGGAGGAGTTGGATTAGAAGGAGGATGAGCAGTAGGGTATGAGTTGGGTAAAGAGTAACATAGTCTTTTAGATGAAGAGGTAAATGATGTTCCTTAGTAGATCTTCTAGGTTCATGATTTTCCTGAATGTGAGGTGTTGGAGGAATTACAGGAGATTCTGGAGAAGAGAGACAACTGGGAGGTGATACTGTTACAGGTGATGGCACATTGGAGGTATGAACTGAATCTGGTAGTGGTCTAGACACACAGTTACTTGGGTGTGTTGTAGGAGGTGGCACATCTACTATGCAAGGAGCAGAATTGAGTACTAATGGAAAAGAAGAGGAAGAAGTAGGTAGGATAGCAAAGGGGAAGATGTGCTCATGGAAGATTACATCTCTAGAAATATGAATCCTTTTGGTGGCCAGATTTAAGACCTTGTACCCTTTAGTTTCATAAGGATATCCCACAAAGACATGGGGAGTGGTCCTAGGTTCAGATTTGTCTCTATGGACTTTAGGTATGGTAGGAAAACACAAGCATCCAAAGCTTTTTAAATGGGAATATGTTGGTGCTTTATTATGGAAGATCTCAGTTGGGCATTTATTCTTTAGGTAAGTGGTGGGAAGTCTGTTTATAATGTGTGTTGCAGCCAACACACATTCACCCCAGTATTGTAAAGGCAACTTGGACTGAAAAATGAGTGCCCTGGAAGTTTCCAAGAGGTACTTATGTTTCCTCTCCACAACTCCATTTTGTTGAGGAGTATAGGGACATGTTTTTTGATGAACTATTCCCTTAGACTGAAAGAATGATAAGGCTTCCATGTTGACAAATTCTGAATCATTATCAGATCTAAGGTACTTGACAATGGAACTGAAGTGGGTTTCAATTAAGGATATGAAATTTTTGATGACTTGCAAGACATTGCTCTTGCTACTCAAGAGGTGAGTCCAAGTGGCTCTGCTATGATCATCCACTAAGGTGAGAAAGTATTTATACTTATCATGAGTGGCAATGTGGTAGGTTCCCCAGAGGTCTGCATGAAGAAGTTCAAAAATGGAAGTAGTAGTGCTAGTCCTATGGGGAAATGCAAGTCTCGGTTGTCTAGCCATAGGGCAAATGGAGCAGAGGAAAGGTTGTTTAGTTGAGAACTAAACAGGGATAGAAGATATCCCCCTCATTTTGATAAAGATATCCCCCTCATTTTGATAAAGGGCAGATGGCCTAATCTGTAATGCCACAACAAATCATCTTGATTCTTGTTAGACAAAAAAGAATTTGAAGGAATGCACTGAGTTTTATTACTGATGGAATTATTTACAAAAGATTGTGAATTGTAAATGGGAACACTTACAGATGATTTAGAATGCTGACAGTGCAAACTGTTTACATCAGAAGAATTAGACAAAACAGAACAGGAAATAGGTAAAGAGGCATGTGTAGCAGAGCATGAACTCTTCATTGAAGGGGCCTGCAGAAGACAAAGAAAATCAGAGAAGGCAATTAAACCTTTAAGTTGAGAAGGTAAAGAGTGAATTGAAATAAGATTGTACTTGAAGGATGGAATATATAGGACTCTATGTAGAACAATGTTTGGTGCTAATATGGCAGTTCCAATTTCTGTGACTTTAACTCTATAGCCGTTTGGCAGTGTGATTAACATAGGATATACTAGGGTTTTAATGTGAGTGAGTAGGGATTTATTGAAGGTCATATGGTTAGAATCCCCAGAGTCTAGGATCCAAATGCCAGCCCTTGATTTAAAGCATTTACATGAAAGTAGGCCAAAATCAACAGAAAGGACAGAAGCAGAACAAGCAAAAATACCTGCGAAGTTCACAGCTCCACCAATCACATTGTTGTCTGAACTATATCCTCCAGTGCTAGTCTGAAAGTGTCGGAGCAAAGTCACCAACTGCCCATACTGCTCCTTAGTGAGACTCACATTGGAATTGCTACCTTGAGTCTGTGTTTCTTCACCTTTCATAGAAAATGAATCGAGTGGAACACTGTGTACATCAGCTGCAGTCCTTTTGCCTTTATTGTACTTGGGATTCTGATTGAAATCCTGCGGATAGCCATGGAGTTTGAAGCATTTCTCTCTAGTATGGCCAGTACGTTTGCAGTGATCACAGAAGGGGCGAGGTCTAGTACTCGTGGAGGGATAATTGTTTGGAGAGTAGTTGGTTCTGAAATTGTTATGTACAGGTGTTCTGTTGTTGAAGCTATTGTGTGAAGCTACATTAGCATTCAAAGAAGCAGAGTCGATCATGAGTTGATTATGTGGTTTCACTTCTCGCTTTTTTTCTTCCTGAATTAACAAGGAGAAGGCCTGTGCCATGGAAGGTAGTGAACTCATCATGAGTATACTACCTCGCACTGTGGTATACGCTTCGTTCAAACCCATGAGAAACTGAATGAGTCTTCTATCTTGTTCAGGCTTGTGCATATTCTCTTTAGCCCCACAAGTGAATTGACAACTACACTGTGACTTGGCATTTATCATGCTCAATTCTTCCCAAAGCTTCTTCATTTTCGTATAATATCCAGTAACATCAAGGGTTCCCTGAGCTAGATCATTGATTTCCTTTTGGATTTGATACAATTTGGTACCGTTAGTCTGATCGTACCTATCTTCCAACTCTCTCCAAAGTTCAAAAGCATTATTAGCATAATCAACACTATCAGCGATTTCCTTGCACAGAGAATTCAGGATCCATGAGGTTATATATCGTCACACCTTTTCCACTGACGAAATTGCGGAGAATCTAGGTTTGGTCTTTTGTAGTCGCCAGTGATGAATCCTATTTTATTTTTGACTGAGAGGGCTCTAAGAACGCTTCTTCTCCAGGATCGGTATCCAATGCCATTGAACGGAGTCGTCACCAACATCGCACCAGGATTATCAGATGGATGCATGTAAAATGGGCAGCTTGGGTTGACTCCGGGATCAGTACCGGCGACATGAGTTGAATCAGTCGATTCAACACCAGAATCATTGTTTGGATCAGGATAGCCATGAGAAAACAGTATCAATTTGTCGAAAAGAAAATGAAACGGGAAGAAGAGAATGTCGGATCGAGAAAAATTAGGGCAAAAGACGGAGATTGTGACTGTGGTTCTAGAATCTAAAAAACTAAGAGAAATTGGAGAGAATAACGAGTAGAATACCTCGCTCTGATACCATGTAAAGATGTAAAAGCAATAGAGGAGTAGGGCTCAAGCTTGAGCTACAATGGAGGAACCATGGAGGGTTCTCGAAGGAGAACAGGGAAAACAGAGGAGAAAGAAGAGTCGGTTATGTGTGAAAATGAACTGATTGAATTGTATTAGAAACTCAACTGACATGTGGGACCCAATACTAATCATCTAAAGCTATGCTAATACACACCTAACTGACTATTAACATAATGATAAATACAATACACTATCTCAATAAAGTTGTTCGAGGGACAAACAACTTTGACGAAGCCAACTTGATTGGCAGTGGATGCCTTGGTTTAGTATACAAATGAATATCGCCTAACTAATGTTTGGAGTCCAGATATCAGGCAGTATCAAACAAGAAGGAACAAAATGCAAATACTACCTAAACTTTTAATTTTTATTTTATTTGATGTAATTAAATAATTTAAAGTATATTTTTTAACCTAGGCTTACAGCTAATTCCTCTTGCCTACCCCATCAAACTAATTACTATTTCTACCTATGGTAGCTTTTGTGGGTAGCCTCTTTTTCTCCTTCTTCTATTTTATTTCTCTCCCTTCTTTTCTTTTACTTCTTTTCTTTCTTTTCTCCTTATCTTTTTTCTTTTTTTTTTCCTTTATTTTTTTTCTTTTTTCTTTTTTTTTCCTTTATTTTTTTTCTTTTTTCTTGTTTTCCCCTTTATTTTTCTTTTTTCTTGTTATTTTCCTTGTTTTTACTCCTTTTTTTTATTTTTTCCCTAAGTCATATTATTATTTATTTTCTTTTTTTCACCATAATATAATTCCATACTCAATTTTGACTGCTTTATTTTTTTTTTAATTTTTTTCTTTTCTTTCCTTTTGTTCATTTTCTTTATTGCTTGTTCCTTTTCAAATACCGTTTAACTTTTTTTTTTCTCCATAATCTAATTTCATTCACTTTTTTTGCTCCTTTTTTTTCTATATAACAAGAAAAAATAAACGATATAGTATGCATCTGTTCACCATTTTTATAATATAATTGGTATAATATATTTTTTGTATTTTTTTTTCATTTTCCTTTTATCTAAACCTCCTTTAACAGAAGAAATAGAAGCTCGAAAAGGAATATCAAAATCTATTTCACTCGCTGAGTCTTTTTGCGTTCATGGCTGAATAGTTAAAGTGCCCAACTCATAATTGGCGAATTCGTAGGTTCAATTCCTACAATTATTAGAACAGCTTATACATTATCCCTGTTTTGGTCTTCTCGTTTGTTCCTTTTATATTTTTTTATTTTCTAATTTCATTTATTATTATTAGATTATATGTTTTTTATTTCCTATATTATTTTTCATAATCTAATTCTACACACCTTTTGTGGCTTCTATATTTTTTTTATTTTTATTTTTCTTTTTCACTATATTATAAAAAAGATAACAAATATAGTACATATTTTTATTTATTTTTATTTTTTCTATATTGATTATCAGAAAATAACTTATTTTAGCATATAATATATCAAAAATAATATATTAGTAGCAATTGAAGTATATTATTATAGTATACTATGTTACCCATATGGTATGTATCATATACTAATAGGGTACCATAGAGAACTAGTTTATTTTTGCAAGAAAATAATACTCATTTGTCCTTTATGATACCCACATGGTATACATCATATACTTACAGGTGTCATAGAGGCCTGGTTCATTCCTTCCAGAAAAATACTCAGTCCTTTATAATACTAACATGGTTTATATCATATACTGGTAAGGTATTAAAGAAGACAGATTTAGGCAAAATACATAAATTACCCCCTGAACTATGGACCAAATTACTTTTACACACTTTTTGCGGAGGAAAATTACTTTACACACTCAACCTATCCGAATTGTAGCTAAGACGCACCTTTTTTTTCTTGACCAATTTACTAAATTATGTTTAATGTCACGCACTAATAAGGTCGTGACACGTGTCGTTAACTTCAAATAACAATAATAATAAAAATATAAAATTACACATATAGCCTCGTCTTTTTCAACTCCATCTCTTCCATCTCCATCTCCATCTCCCCCTCCGACAACCACCATAAAAAATCAGAACCACAATTCAAATCAAGAGTTGTCGGATCGTTTAGAAGCAACACTGTGCGGCGATGGTCGTAAGAGATAATGCATAGATAATGAAACCTTTAACATACAGTATAAAGCCCAAAACAAATTCGAATTCATTGACCAAGATAATTCGAAGACAAAAAAAAAAATCAAAGTTATTGACCAAGATAATTCGAAGACAAAGAAATAAAATCTCAGTCAAGAGAAAGCACAACAACAGTGAGTCATAAATCTTGACGTGCTCTGCTATGAGATTAACACCAAAAAGTTCTAAATGTTCAATTTCCTTTTGCCTGAATATTGTGGCACCCAAATTGACGGAGCGGACAACGGTCCTCATAAGCCTCCACTAGCTGTATAATCTCTAATAGCAGCTCCGGCAACATATTCGACCATGACGATGTCGCATCACCGGAATCCAATCGACGGCACCGTCATTTTCAGCTGCTAATTTGTCGAATCGCTAAGAAATCGAATAGCTGCTAATTTTCTGAAAGTTTCTGAAAATTAGGAGCCCAAGTGATATGATAGTTGGACTGTAAAATCATAGAGAAGATAAAAGAGGACGACGAGTCCAACGAAGAAGACAACAGACATGGCAAAAAAAGAAGATAAAATATAATTTTTGACATATGCGCTTAGATATACACTTTTAAAAGTGTTTTATAGTGTTAACGCACTTCTTCTTTTTTTGCGTGCAAATCACGCGTGTGCCACATAATTAAAAAAATGTGTCTTTGTTATACTATAGAAATGTTTAGTGTGTAAGGTAATTTTTGTCACCAAAAAGCATGTAACATGAATCTGGTCCATAATTTAGGGGGTAACTTATGTATTTTTTCATAGATTTATTCCTCCAAAAATACTCCTCAAACTGATACCCACATGGTATATACTCCCTCCAATTCAATTTAGATGAGGTAGTTTGACTCGGCACGAAGTTTAAGAAAAAACAAAGTCTTTTAAAACTTGTGCTTAAAAGCCTAAAAGGTAAAAGTTTTGTGGGCACATGACATTTGTGTAGCTATAAAAACTTCTCATTAATGATAAAATGGGTAAAATGAAGAGTTTAAAGTTGAATTATTTCCAATTGTAGAAATGTTCTTTTTTAAACGGGCTAATAAGAAAAGTGTGTCATTTAAACTGAAACAGAGAATGTATCATATATTGATAAAGTATCATAGAGGATGGTTTCAGTCCTTCAAAAAAGAAATACTCCTCAATCCTCTATGACACTCACATGGTATATATCACATACTGACAAGGTATCATAGAAGACTGGTTTATTCCTTTTAAAAAAATAGTCCAGTCCTCTATGATACCAAATCGATATATATTATATACTGATAGAATATCACAAAGGGACGGTTCATTCCTTAAAAAAATATAGATTCTTATTCGCTAGTTCAGTTTAATTTCAACCTAAAATTCAAAAATCTATCCCAAAATCTCCACCAAATTTATTTAAAATTTAGTCACAACTTCAAACGTACTCCAGTCACATCGAAATAACTACAAACTCTGCAAACTTAGTTTATGAGTTAAAGCTCAAGGTTCTTCAATGATGGATTTTTATTTATTTATTTATAATAAAGCTCTGAAAATCTACTTAAACACCGTAATCTACGCATCAAATAATAACACCTAATGAATTTAAGTGTAAAACACTTCAAACATACATGAGTATTCAAATCTGATAGTTTGAACTCATTTATATGAAGTTTCAAATTTTTTTATTCAGATTTGAAATTGTATCCACTATTTTGAATTGTTTCTATACTGAATAATTGACAGAGACTCGCTGAGAATTTTCTCCTACTCAGTTTCTCATCTATGGAAGATAGAATTTCAGAATATTTATTAATTAAAATTTAGCTCCAACAAATAAATAGATACACACAAAATTCAAATAAATAAAAGCATTTGAGCAGATTTAAACATAAGAAAGAAAAATACAATGGATCCGTGAACTGGTCCAGAACTCACTCCTTCGCATGGATTAGAGAACCAATATGTGCCCCGTTTGAATACATATTTTTTTGGTGGGTCGGGTTATAATTATGGGTTAGATCGGTATAAATTGAATTAAATTTAAAATAGGTAATGTGGGTAAAAGTTTTGTAAATAACGTAGATTTCCCTACATTAAAATACTAGTTTCTGTGAATGTGCGTTGCACGTTAAAAGTTGTACATAATGATTTTGGCAATTCTTTTATGAAAGAACATGAAATTTAAGTAATCAGAGAATTATATAGAATACAACGATTATTTAAATGTCGAAAAATATCATTACATTAGCATAAGACGTAAATTCAAAATGATTGGACATCGTTATCTGAACCTGCAAAAACGATCAATATAGTCATGTTAGTAAAATAATATTATTATATACTTATAGTTTGTTGTAAATATTGATATTCCTTTTAAATATGCAGTAATATAATTGTCCGTGCGAAAAAAAATATGTTGTGGCAGATGCAGTTCAACATTTAAAATTGTTCCCCCTTGTACTTTATTTGTTGCCATTGCAAAACACAAGTGTACTGAAATTATTTTTCGATAAATTTGAAAGGATATTCTTCATTTTCAAGAGGCGAAAGCTGAATTCTGGGGATGAACGCATGCTTGAAAGTACATTGACCTATTAGAATTTCTGCATGTATAACATTGTTGTGAAAATTTCTACATATTATTCTTATACTATTACATAAACTATTTGACGTATCTAAGTTTCTTAACAATACGATGAATTTATTTTGCTTCAAAATCAACTTGTACGATGTGGAAGTTTATTTATAAACGTGCGTTGCACGTTTATAATGGCACATGATTGTTTAAATATTTATTTATATGAAAGAACAATAAAATTTAATTAATGGAAGAATTTTATACATAATAATACAAAAATTATCTAAATGCCAAAAAATATTGTTACATTAGTATAATATGTGCATTCAAAATTAAAGGATATCATCACAACTTACACAAATGATCAATTTTAGTCATATTTAGTAGAAAATTATGTATTGTAGCTTAAAGGTATCTAATGTGATGGTATCTTACCGAATATTTTTTATAGACGATGTTTTTTTTGTGTATGTTTCCTTCTAATACTTTGGTTGCTCTGCCATAACCAGCATTGTTGTTGTCGATGTTGATATCTCTCTTGAAAGTGCAACATATAGTTATTCGTGGAATAAAATATATTATTGTAAATATAGTCCAATATTTAGGATGTTTGTCCTTGTGCTTATTTAAATAACTACAAAACATAAACATACTAAAAATTATTTTCACACAAATTTAAAAGGATATTCTTTAGTTTCGGAAGCTGAAAGTTGAATTCGGGATAAACACATACTTAGAAGCACATTGACATTATCATAAGTTCTGCATGTATGACGTTATTGTCAAAACTTCTATATACCATATGTGTATTACATAAGTTATTCACCGGATCTAAGTTTTTAGTAGCAGAACGGACATATTTTTCTTCAAAATCAACCTATATGCAATGGAAGATCAATTTTAACTTAGTCTAATATATATATGGTGACACTAACATACGTAAGAAATAATGAACTTGACAAAAAACATGTACGGTAGACGGCCGTTTGGTATTAAAGCATTTAAGTATTCTTCTTGGTAGTAATTATTGGTATCTTTTGCGAGTTAAAACTGAAAAATATTTTGTTTTTACCATAAAACTTAGCAATCAACCTTTTATTTTAGTTTATCAATATATTCATTTTTGCTAGCTAAGATAGCTCTTTAATTTCTATCATGTAATTTGCACAAATTGCGTTTTAATCTAATGATGGACATATTTTCCTTATTAAATGCACTACTATTACCGTTAGGTTGATAACCAAGTGTTCTAGAAGAATCAAATCATCTTTTATTGGATGCACTTCTTCGGTTCCGACAAATGTTGGATCTGTTCTATGTTTATATTTCTTGTCATTTGAATATTTTTCATTTGAGGCCGTAAGTATAATTTTGGCAAGCTAGCTTTTACACTTTCTGCTTTCGTCAATTTTGCAACTACTTATAGTACTTGACAAAAATCACCTCTCAAACTATTACTTTTCCACCAAACAGTTCATTTATATCCAATATATCTCTAAAACTCTAGGCAAATGTTTCGACCGTTTGACGCTTAGCCAAAAATGCTTCGTCCCATATTATCACTTTTGATTTCCTTATAAATTTAGCACTATTTCTCTTCTTTGATATATTTGTGACGGTTATTTCAGTTATTTGAAGAGGTATATCAAATCTAAAGTGAGTTGTACGACCTAATAATAAAATTGTTGATGGTGCACCATTTGTTCTAATTGCTAACAATAGCATGCCTCTTGATCTGACACTTGCAAGTAATGCATGATATATGAATATTATTTTGATTCCACCGGAGAAATCTACAAAGGATAATCCCGCTATAGCATAGTCGACTTTTTATAATATAGTCTTGAAAGCTTATTCTTGTTCAGGATTTTGCTTATTCTCAAACACTTGTATGGCCTTCTTAATATTATACTAATCTTTTTTACTCTGTGATCTAATTTTTTTAATTTCTAAAACTCTTTTCATGGAATAAATTTATGTACCATAAGATTTTCTTTAACTTGAAAAATAATTTTACTCATATGATGAATTAAAAAAATAATTTAGTTGGATTCTCTTGCTAAATAATTAATTATAAGATTTGATTATTTATTTTTAACAATAAAAATAATTTATTTCTGTTGATTCAGATTCCTAATAGTTCATCTCATGTAAAAAAAATTACCCGTAATTATAATTTTATCTACCATAAATTTATTTTCTAAGAGTACAAAGATCGATTTGACATTACACTTTTAGATCTTTATGTTTGCAAAATCATTAACGGTATGACTCTCCAACATTTTTCTTTCTCTTTCTCACACATGTACGGTCTTAAAAACTTTCTTAGTTGTTCTTTAATAATTGGGTATATTTTTCAATATTACATGAAAAATTAATAATAATCAAAATATTATTTAAGTAGGAAAGCAGTTCAAATATAATATAATAATATATTATCGTGAGAGTTTTTTCTTCTCAATCTCAACGCTTTATGCAGTACCTTTAATATTACTTTTATTTGTTTTTTGGTATTTGATAGAGCGGTAATGTATTACCAATATGGAGGAAAAATATTAAATATTAAAAAATTAACATAGAAGTTGTTGTAGTCCAAAAAAAAAAGTTATTACAGTTATGTCTTTTTCCTATGAGTTCTTCTGTTTAATATTTTAGGGCTGTTTTGGTCTATCGTGTTTTTATAATAATAAGAAGTACATTCTAAAAGTAATAGAATTACATGGCTAAAAATATGTCCATATTCCGAAAGTAATTATACTAATAGAAAATCTAACATGTTCCTAAAGGTATTAGGTTTACATGCTAACATGTGGTATTATATATCTATCTCCGAAACTAATAAATCTTTTTAATACTTATTTTTCTATTTTTATATTATTACTATTGATAGCTTCAATTGAAAAAGAACTCCCACACCTAATAAATTAAAGTCTCGTTCTTGCTTCTAATTCTTATAGGAATAATTGAATTTGTTTTAAATTCTTATGGGAATCTACTTGAGTGGTTAAAAGTTAAAAAAATTCCACGAAGTTTTAATTGAAATCAATGTCTAAATTTTTGGAAAGTCATAAATTTGACAATTCTATCCAACAGATTTGAAAATATTTGAAGGATAATAGGATTCTAAAGGTAATTATGTAGGATTTATAACTTGTAGTATTATGTCCTAAAACTAATAGGATTACAAGGCTAATGTCTAGAATTTCAATTACGTCCTTTTATTCTGAGTTATTATGCTTAATATTAAAAGGTTATTTTTGTAATCCAACATTTTATTCATGCTTTTATAATAATATAAATAGATATAAATATAGATATAGATATAGATATAGATAGATATAGATAGATAGATATAGATAAGTAAAATAAAAAACTTAATTCGAAAATTCAAATAATTAAATGAAATTGAACTAATTTCATTTAAGTACAAAAGTTTCGAATTAATTGTCAATTGGCCTTAAAGTTCTATTTTGTGTTTTATATTTTATTTTTAACCTAAACCTCTCTCCCTAACCACAATCTCGTGTTTTGTGAATTCCCCCGACCGGCAAAGGGCGACGGCATCAGCGATTCGGATTCGGCGACTCCTCTTCTCTTCTCTGTATATCTCTCTCTTCTTTCCTCTCTTTTGTAGTATTATTTTTGTTTTAATTTGTTTCATCCTCGTTTGTTTTAATTTAATATAGTGAATCATTCTTCTATAACTGTCGGCTATGAGTGAATTGGTCAATTTCATGGTGTAGGAATGAAGAATTAGGGGTGGCAAATGGACGGGTTGGGCTGAATTTGGGCTGGTCAAGAAAAATAAAAGAAAAAAGTAAAAAAATTTTTTTTTAGGGGGTTTGCATCGGGAGTGGGGGGTGGGAGGGTAGGGGGTAGGGTGTGTGGTGTAGAAAAATAAAATAATAGAAAATTGAAAATACAACAAAAAAAAGTGAATCTTTTTAGGGGTTTTGCGCGCGGGGGTGTGGGGGGGGGGAGGGAGGGGTGGGGGAGGTTTAGGGGAGGGTGGGGGGGCAGAAAACTAGAAAAAAAAACAATAGAAATTTAAAAATTAAAACGTTAAAAGTTAAAGGTTTTTTGGTTTTAGCGCGGAGGTGGGGGTGGGGTGGGGTGTAGGGGTAGGGTGGTGGGTGGGTGGATGGGGTGAGTGGGTGGTGTAGAAAAACAAAAGAACAGAAAATTAAAAATACAAAAAATAAAAAAAATAAAAAAATTAGGGCAACTAAGTAAATTTCTAGATAAGTTAGGTTGAGATCTTTTGTTTTGGGTGAGTTTCATGGGTTGTATTTGGGTTGTTAAATGGGTCAGAATAGGCTATAAAAAATAATGGGTTAACTTGGGTTCAACCCAAATTGACCCATGAGTTAAAATGTTTGTAGCCCAACCCATTAATCTCTGGGCTAGTTGGGCGGGTTAGATGGGTTTGGACTCAAATTGCCACCCCTATGAAGAATGAAAGGTTGAATATGATCCGTAATTTTGGGATAGAAATTTGCAGTTACTGAGAAACCAAAATGAAAATCGAAAATAGGCATTTGGGTGTCACAATTTGTTATTGGAAAATTCGAATATAATATTCTCAGAAATAATAATTTAAATTTCTTAATTCAGGTGACAAAGGTTGGTTGAGGGAGTTGTGACTTAGGTCACAAATTCAAGCCCCCAAGGCTTAGTTCAAGTGGCAATGGCTGAGGGCACGTTCAAGCCTGTGCCATGAGAACTAAGTCTGATATTTAAGTGGAGAACAGTAGAGGGGTGGCCCATTATCCCGGAATTTCGAAGGCTGCGGTTGGTCCCAGACGGATTTCTCGGTCATTAAAAAAGTCATCTTATTATGTATTTTTGGTTGAAATAAGAAATGTGAGTAGTGTGTTTATGCATTTGTTGTTTTAGGATCTTGGTGGCATGACTGACTATTCAAAGAGAATTTATTTTTGCTCTTACTCCTAGTTACTAAATGAGTCTGAACTGGAATTGTTGTTTTCTCGATGCCACTTTAATGTGATAAGAATCAAGCTAAAATTCATCTCTTTATTTGCTCTTTTTATGCTCACAAAGATGAGTCGATCAAGGGAAGCAGCCGCCATGAAGCGGAAAAGACCAGACTTGGATTCACCTATTCAGGGACTTCCAGATGCTGAACGTGTAGTGCTCAGTCTGGTCAAAAATAAAAAGAATCTGGGCATCTGGGTGGCAGAGGTGAAAAAGGAGGCAAACCTCCCACCAACTCTTGTGGATAAATCCCTGACCGCACTCGTGAAAAAGAAGTTGATAAAACAAGTTGTGAATATCCAAAATAAGGGAAAGAAGAAGCATTACATGACTGTTGAGTTTGAACCTTCGGAGGAACTGACTGGTGGTTCATGGTACTCTGAGGGAAATCTTGATAAGGAATTCATCACCGTTCTTAGAGACGCGTGCCTCAAGGTCATAGAATTGCTGAAAGTTGCTACGGTGGAGGGAATCCACAACTTCTTGAAGAAAAGGAAAGTTGTTGAGTGCACAAGTCAGCAAATCGTGGAAATATTGAACTCTATGGTTCTAGACAATGCTATTATAGAGGTAAAGAGCACTGGATTGGGAGAATATCATTCTATTCCTGTTAGATTAGTTTGTTATTGAACTGCAAGCGGAGTTGCTTTAGGGACTGGTCCGAAAACAATAGGGCCAATGGCTTCAATTCCATGTGGTGCTTGCCCTAGGATTAGTCAATGTTCACCCAATGGAGTTATATCCCCACAAACATGTGTCTACTACACTAAATGGTTGAACGCTGAATTTTGATGGACTTCTGATAAGTAAATCCGGTGTACACTGCACTACCACTTATTGGTTGCTATCTGATTTCTTGTTAATCTTTTTGTTTAGATAGAAGCAACTTTCTGATTACTCATAGTTTTCAGTTTTTATTAGAATGTTTGATTACCTTGAAATCTCTTCAGGCTGATCGGAAAGATTGTCTGGTCACATGAGATAGCCAAAGAATTGGCACATGGCTTCTTGAGTTCTTCCAATGTTTAAACAGACATTCCAAAACAAAATTCAAACAAGACAATGATGTACTTTCAACAGCAAAACCACACTATTTTCAGGGCACCAATCAAAATCATAGTACTTTATACAAACTGATCGACTCATTTTCTCTGGGAATTCAATGACTTGGTGAAGCAACAATCTGATCGGATTCTGATGCTTCCTTTCTCTTGCTCCTTTCTTTCTCAAGTAAATACACCCTCTCTACTTCAGGCATTGCTACAATAAATGCATTCAGCTTGGAGTTTAAGTCTTCCAACTTTTCCATTATTAAGCACACTTTGGATGGTTCCCCAGCTTTCCTTCAATGGTAAAGCAATAATAACTGCTGATCCTACTGTACCCCATACAATAGCTATTACAGCCCAGAATGTGAAGTATCCCTTGCTAAATTGCCCTGCATTATCAACTTTGCAACCAATTAATCATGGAGCATTCACACTAACACTGAAGTAGCAGAAGGATTAAATTTTCGTACTTACCCACAGGAAGTGTAAGAATAGGCCAGAAAACTACTATCGCGACTGCGAAACCAATGCCCCATTTGATTATCCATGCTTTGGCTTGTTGAGCTTTTCCTCTTTGAACTCTTCAGGTGGCAATTCATTCTTTTCCTTTTCAACCACTGTTATCTGCTTAGTAGTCTGCCAATCATAGTTCTGGGGCCTTAGAAAGCTACAAACCGCATGAATAGCTCCACCAGTAAGTATAGAAACAAGGTTTCCTGCAAGCATTGGCGCATTTCTACCAGATTTATCCTTCCATACTCGATTTTAGTGACCGATAACCAAGTGATAATCCCTAACAAACAGCCAACAACTGTGTTTAGCTCAAAAATTATATTCGTATTTTATAAGCTTAAAAACAATCGAAAATATATAGGGGTAAATCGTAATAAAATATAATAAGCCCAAGAGATGATTATTGCTTCAAGAATGTTTGTAGATCTGTAAGTGCGTAATGAAATAGACTTAGCTTAAGAGGGAAACAATAGTTGGAAAATCAAGAAAGAGATAAGAGAGAGAAATAGAGAGAGAAATTGTATTATCCGAGAATCCCCCTATTACAATGCGGAGGTCTCCTTTATATAGTAGGAGGCCTCCCTCGAAATAATCAAAAAGGTACAAAAGTTGGTGGCTTCTACTCAGTAAAAAGGTCAGGCACTAAACGACATCACTTCTTCTTCACCAACTTGGGCCGTGCCCTCACTCGGGTCGCCCTTATTATAAGGGACGTGCCCGTTTGGCGTGGGGGCGTTATGAGCCAAATTTAACCCTATACAGTTAGTCCCTCCGTTCGTTGGAGACGTACTCGATGACCGTCTTCAATGGACGGACATGCCCGATTTGCTTTTTACGGAAATTTGGCCGCGCCCATAGGCGCCTCTTTCGAAGAGCGTGAGCGGGGATAATATTTATTGGGCCGTTGACATGCGACCACCTTTTTTAAGGTGACGTCACCAGTCACATGCGTCATCATTATATTTGGTTCCCGAGACTGTTCAGAACACGACATGACGTTTTGGCTTCCCGCGCTAGTTTCAGAATTGTGCCTCTTCGATTTCCGTGTGCCTCATTCCTATAAATAGAGGAGTGTTTCAAAGAGATTCATCTTTCGAACCTTCGGAGAGTTTCCCTCTGTTTCTTCATCTTTCTTTCTTGCAAGAGTTGTATCGCTTTCAGAGAAATACCATTTCTGAGGATCGTATCTCTCATTAATAACACTTCATTCTTATAAATCGTATCATGGTGAAACGCCGTCAAGAAAGAAAAAGGACTAAGGACGGCGCTTCTTCTAGGGTTCCGCCCCCTTCCGATGGTGAAGGGGAAGAAGTGGAGAAGACCCTTGTTCCTTTAACGGTAAATAATGTTTTACTGAAGGACTTGAGTGTCCGGAAAGATTTCAATACGACATGCCCCTCTTATCCCTGGGAGCATAGCGAGTTGCTTCAGTCTCACCTGGACGCCATTAGAACTAGATACAACATTCCTGGCCATGTTGAAATGGCTCCGGCCGGGACGGACTATGCCAATGTGCATAGGCCCGGGTTCTGCACATTCTATGAGTACGCTCTTAGGATCGGATATAGCTTTCCGCTTAACCCCCTGGCGGAAGAGCTTTGCCGCTTCTATCATGTATGCCCGACTCAGCTCACACCTTACGCCCTGAAGGTGTGTCGAATCCTTACCACGCTTTCGGGTGAGGCCGGGGCCGTCGTTTCCGTTCACCACCTGCTGCAGATGTTCAGCCCCAGTTACATGAGGGGTACCATGCTTCAATTGAGGAGCCGTGGTAAGAAGAGCTTTGTGGTGAGGGCTGACGACAAAGCTAACCGCGAGTTCTGGCGTAAATTCTTTTACGTTAGGACGAGCCATCTGGTGTCCAATCCCGAAGGGTTTCCAGAGATGTGGAATGCAGGATGTAAGTATTCCTGCATGTAATTTTGCGACGCCTTGTTTTGACTGACCAATCACTCTTTGACTTTCTTTTCTTTTGTAGTGGTGGCTCGCTCACCCCGCCCCGTTGACGACATTAGGTCGTGGGTGGCGGGGTTGATACCGCATGTGGAGAGATGCCGTACTTGGGCTGAGTTCCGCAGATTGTACGGCCCAACTGGTAACAACCTTCCCTGTTTCTTTTCGTTTTGTTTTAGCTTGGAGACTTTTTTACCCGATGTGCTTTTTGTTTGGCAGGTCGGGGTGTTTCTACAAAGACGAAGAAGAAGAAAACCGACGTTGGCCCGTCTATGGTAGAGTCCGACTCCGATGGGGGAGACATATTCGTGGGCGGCTCGCCTAGAGATAGCCCCCTTTCGACTCCTCAGCAAGGGGCTACATCGGTAGCTGCATCGGAGGCGGTGCCTGAGGCTGCTTCCGTGGAGATACCTGAGGCCGTACTAATAATGGCACCTGAGACCGTTCCTGTGCCGGTATCTGAAGTCGCTCCAGCGGAGGCGGCTTCCGAAGGAGAGGAACCGCCGGAGAGAAAGAGGCGGCGACTGATTACTGGCAAAGNTCGAATCTAGGTCGACCGTTGGCGGCGATGGCCTTAGCCATAATATAATTGATGGCCTTAGCCATGTGGGCGACTTCGACTGTCGTCGAGTCGTTTACTCACCGTAGTCGAATCTAGGTCGACCGTTGGCGGCGATGGCCTTAGCCATAATATAATTGATGGCCTTAGCCATGTGGGCGACTTCGACTGTCGTCGAGTCATTTACTCACCGTAGTCGAATCTAGGTCGACCGTTGGCGGCGATGGCCTTAGCCATAATATAGTTGATGGCCTTAGCCATGTAGGCGACTTCGACTGTCGTCGAGTCGTTTACTCACCGTAGTCGAATCTAGGTCGAATGTTGGCGGCGATGGCCTTAACTATAATATGATAGATGGCCTTAGCCATGTAGGCGACTTCGACTGTCGTCGAGTCGTTTACTCACCGTAGTCGAATCTAGGTCGACCGTTGGCGGCGATGGCCTTAGCCATGATATAATTGATGGCCTTAGCCTTTCACACATTGGAGATGGCCGTAGCCTTTCATACATTGGAGATGGCCGTAGCCTTTCATACATTGGAGATGGCCGTAGCCTTTCATACATTGGAGATGGCCGTAGCCTTTCATACATTGGAGATGGCCGTAGCCTTTCATACATTGGAGATGGCCGTAGCCTTTCATACATTGGAGATGGCCGTAGCCTTTCATACATTGGAGATGGCCGTAGCGTTTCATACATTGGAGATCAAGCTAGTCCAGTCCCTTTATCATGTCGGCCTGGAGGTCGTAAGGAGAGGTTGATATGATAAACTTGTATCGCAAATATCTCCAAGTGTCCCCTCCGCCGCCTCGTTAAAAACCTCCCCGAGAAAACCCAACTGGGACAAAACTCGGGTAAGGGAAAAAGAGTACGACTCGGGAGACGCCTTTCAGAAGTAGAAATACTTGAGGTGAATAACGTTCCAGTTGTTTTGGAGCGTTTTCCCTTCCATTGTTTCCAACTGGAATGCGCCTTTGCTGGCTACTGCTGTGATTTTGTAGGGTCCTTCCCAGTTGGTGCCCAGTTTCCCTTCACTTGGGTCTTTGGATGCCAATGTCTTGGCTTTAAGGACAGAATCTCCCACCTTGAGTGGTCTTATTTTGGCCCTCTTGTTGTAGTATCTTTCGACTTGTTGCTTTTGGGCCACGATTCTGATATGGGCCATTTCTCTCCTTTCCTCAGCTTCGTCGAGGTCTTGGAGCCTGTTTGTGTCGTTTTCTGTTCCACTGGTGTGTGAATATCTTAGGCTTGGTTCGCCGACCTCGACGGGTATGACTGCGTCGATTCCGTAGACCAGCGAGTACGGTGTTTCCCCCGTGCTGGATTTGGGTGTGGTCCTGTGTGCCCACAACACTTCGGGTAGCAGCTCGGGCCATAGCCCTTTGGCGTCCTCGAGTTTCTTCTTTAGTATGTTTAATATTGTTTTGTTGGAGGATTCTGCTTGGTCGTTGCCGGCAGGGTGATATGGCATGGAAAGTATCCTCTTGATGCGCCATTTCTCGAAGAATTCGGTCATTTTTTGACCGATGAACTGTCGTCCATTGTCACAACTGATTTCTTTGGGGATGCCGAAACGGCATATAATATTTTTCCATGTGAAGGCGATCACTTCTTGTTCGCGTATTTGGGCGTACGCTCCTGCTTCCACCCACTTGGAAAAATAGTCAGTTAAAACTAATAGAAATCGTACCTTTCCTCGTCCCGCTGGTTAGGGGACCGACTATGTCCATTCCCCATTTGATGAAGGGCCATGGGGAAGTGACCGAGTGAAGTGGTTCTCCTGGTTGGTGTATCATGGGGGCATACTTTTGGCATTGTTCGCATCGGCGAACATATTCCGCTGCGTCTTTCTTCATAGTGGGCCAATAATAGCCGGCTCGTATTATGCAGCGCACGAGGGCGCAGTTGCCCGTATGGGCACCGCAATGACCTTCATGTACCTCTTCGAGCACTGGCCGCGTTTGTTGCGGCCCTAGACACTTGGCCAGGGGTCCGCCAAACGTCCTTTTGTAGAGCTCGTGGTTTATCAGGCAATACCGGGCGGCCTGTACGCGGAGCTTCTTGGCTTCTTTTTTGTCGAGTGGGAGTGTTCCATCCTGCAGATAGGATACAAATTGGTTGCGCCAGTCCCAAGTCAAATTTAAAGAGAGTACCTCAGTGTGATCAATGGCTGAATGGAGGAGGGTGACCATGCTTTCTTTGTTGAAGTTTTTAGTGGTTGCGGCCAATTTTGCTAGGCCGTCTGCTTCAACGTTTTGTGCTCTCGGAACTTGTTCGAAGCGGAACTCGTCGAACTCGGTCATTAACCTGT